TCATGAAAAAAAATACTGTGATAAAAAGGAACATTTTTAGCAATAAATAGTATTACTGTTTATTATTTTAAACCATTCACTACTGTACGCATAAAGCATAAGCTGTACTTTTTTGTAAGTTTACATTTTTCGAAATGAACAACTTACCCTGGACAATGCACTCAAAAGTTCCTTTATTCATTTTAAAATAGATAAATAAAAAGGTCACAGACTTTTCAGCTTAAAGCATTCTTTACTACTCTTAACACTGTATTGTAGAGTGAAAAAAAATGTTCATTTTAAATCTTATTTAAAATTTTTTTTAAAGATATATTTACCATGTTTTCATTTCCCCCCATTTTCTATAGACAATAAATCCATAATTTTCTGTATATCAACATGATGTAAAAAACATAATAATAACAATAATAATAACAACAATAATAATAATAATAATAATAATAATAATAATAATAATAATAAATATTTATTTTATTTCTCTAGTGAGATATAAATGTTTCAACTAAGTATAAGGATTTTAAATTCCACACGCAAATTCCATGTTGAAAACAAACATATCATTTGAGTGTATGAAAGACAATTGTTCAATATTTTTTTAATGGTATAATGATTAAATGTGTTTCTATAATTACTCCTTTTTGGTTATGTATTTGTGTGTGTTTGCGTAAAGTTCTCTGCAAAAATTATTCAAATTTATATATTTTTTTATCAATTTCTCACTAAATATATCAAATTAATTTTGGTGTGTTTAAACTCTACTGTTTAATTAAACTCTTCTCTTAAAAAAAGAGCTTGGTCACCTCTTTAGGAATAGAAAGACAATCATTTCAATTTAATCTAGAAATATTAATACTAAAAATAAATACTAAAAATAATAAATAAATATGAAATATAAACAAATTTTTAAGTAAATTTGATATTATTTATATTTCTCTGAAACTTGCCTATGGCACTTATTCATTGTTGCTCTTATAGTTGTGTAAATTGCTTCCTTGTGCTCATTTGTAAGTCGCTTTGGATAAAAGCGTCTGCTAAATGACTAAATTTAAAATGTCACTCGAGTGTCTGGAGGGGTCATATTGAACATTTATGAATTTGTTTTCTACTGGAAAAAAAAAAAAAAAAACTTTAAGTACTCTTCACATTGATTATATACCCAAGGTTCCATCATGTTTCTTAGATTAAATACAGATTTTTAAAGTTGTGGAATTCTTTTTGAATCATCCTGTATTAAATTGGGTGTACTATTTTTTGTAAGATCAGTTCCAGTTTTTTTTTTACTGACTAATCTAACATGCACATGCAATTATCGGCCACTTTATTAGGAACCCCTTTTGCCTTCAGAACTGCCTTAATCCTTGGTGGCATGAATTTAACAAAGAACTGGAATTATTCCTCAGAGATTTTGCAGATTGACTTGATAGCTTCACACAGTTGCTGCAGATTTGTCGGCTGCACATCCATGATGCCAATATCCTGTTCCACCACAGCACCACAAAGATGCTCTATTGGATTGAGTTCTGATGACTGTGGAGGCACTTGAGTACAGTGAACTCATTGTCATGTTCAAGAATCCAGACACAGCAGAAATCGAGATTCATCAGACCAGACAAGGTTTTTTCAATCTTGTGTTGTCCAATTTTGGTGAGTTGTGTGAATTGTAGCCTCAGTTTTCTGTTCTTAGCTGACAGATATGGTCAAAGGTGTGGTCTTTTGCTGCTGTAGCCCATCTGCCTCAAGGTTGGATGTGTTGTGAGTTCAGATATGCTCTTCTGCATACCTCGGTTGTAACGAGTAGTTATTTGAGTTACTGTTGCTGTTTTAACAGCTTAGTCTATTCTCCTCTTACCTCTTGCATCAACAGGGCTCTTGCGCCCACAGAACTGCCGCTCACTGGATTTGTTCTCTTTTTCGAAACATTCTCTGTAAACCCTGAAGATGGTTGTGTGTGAAAATCCCAGTAGATCAGCAGTTTCTGAAATACTCAGACCGGCCCATCTGGTACCAACAACCATGCCACGTTCAAAGTCACTTAAGTCACTTTTTTTTTCCCCCATTCTAATGCTCGATTTAAACTGCAGCAGATCCTTTTGAACATGTCTACATGCATAAATGCATTAAGTTGCTGTCATGTGATTGGCTAATTAGAAATTTGCGTTAATGAACAGCTGAATCTAATGAAGTGGCCGGTGAGTGCATATACAGTACTATTGTAGAGCATATACTCATTTAAAAAAGGGATATGTAGGAGGTGTTCTCATTTATGTGGAGCACTGTAAATATCAGAGGTGTGGACTCGAGTCATGTGACTTGGACTCGAGTCAGACTCGAGTCATGAATTTGATGACTTTAGACTCGACTTGACAAAATATAAAAAGACTTGCAACTCGACTTGGACTTGAACATAAATGACTCGGACTTTGACTAGGACTTGCCCCTATTGACTTGTAAAGACTTGCTGCTTCCCATGAAAAGCCCAAAGATAAAAAAGTATGTTGACATGGACCGCTCTCTCTCTCTCTCTCCCCGTTTATGTGTGCGTGTGTGTGTGACAGCATGCGCGCGTGTGTGTGTGACAGCATGCGCGCTTTCGGCATGACATCCAATCAAAGCACGGTAGATTGTTTTGATTTGACAGTATCCAACGTGACTACTTTGAGGCGCCGGAGTGGACAAAAGTCAAGCGAACGCAGAGAGAATTTGAATTTGAGATCGAGCCAATAATCGCGTGCCAATACTCGGTCTCTCTCTCTCTCTCTCTCTCTCTCTCTCTCTCACATACAACATACAACTCTCTCTCTCTCTCTCGCTCGTGCATTCAGTCTCTTTGCGTTCGCTTGACTTTTATTTACGATGGCGTCTCATACCTTTAGTGCTTTTGCTCTCACGGGATCCTCCTTTTAAACTGACCCTTCGCTAAGCCACGCCCAAAAACCGCCACCCACCAATCGCGGCTTACCAATCGTGGCTACAGACAGGGGCTCTGTCAAGCTTTCGAGCGAGGAAAACAAGCCAAATCGTTGCACAATTATTGGATTGTGCAAATCTGACACCCGCTATCCTAAAAGTTTGGACTGGGTGGTGGGATTTTTCCCTTTTCAAAACCTAAAGCCCAAGAGGAGAAATGCCAGCGTGGATCAAGCTGTGTGAGGGGCGGTAAAGGAGTTAAGCTTAGATGGTTTTGTTTTAGATATTCACATTCAGTGATAGGTGGCAATAACTCACACTACTCTTATCCTAAACAGATCTAAACTGTGTTCTTATAAAAAAAAAAAAAAAAAGCAGGTTATGTTTACCAGCGGTCTTTTTCTTTTTTTCCACTCAATATTATGAGCGCTGCTTAGTTTAAGGGGCCCTGTGGAACAGCTTTCCTCAAAATGAAGAGGATGACATGGAAAATGTCCTCCACAATCTCATCAGCAAAGTGGAAGCCAGCAGACACTAGTTTACTTTATTTTAGCTGCCATGATAAAATGAAATTGATAGTGAGATTTATTTGAAGAGTGAATAATACAGTAGGCTATAATACCTTATCAAGTGTTTCTTTATTTTTATCACAGTTACATTTCCGCTTGCATTAGTTTTTGTTTAAATGCTTTTAAAATAAAATGTATTCTTTACATCCAACATCTATTCCAGTGTTGCCTTATAGTGGTGTAAACCCCTTTACAAGGGGTGTTTCCCCTGTGTAAACTCTAGCCACCCCGATATGATTTTGCTGTTGACATTATTTATTTAAATCTAACTACATAAATGCAATACAATGCAATATTTCAATAAATAAATAGCAGCCACTAAATTATTGTGGATTGATTGGTGCCACTGACCCCTAAGCAAATTTTCAGGGGGGCACCACTGGTCTATTCTCTTTAAGTGTTTGAAACTGAAAATATCTCATCATATAAAACAACCAAAAATGTTATGGTTTATTAGATTAAACATTTAATATGTAAGTCTATTTTAGTATTTTGGGTATTGTTATTAAACAGTGCAGCAATATGAATCATATCAAAAAGCATGAAAGGAAGAGGGAACACGACACAAATTGTGAGTCTGCATATAATCTCTGAGAGCGCTCAAGAAAATTTGTGTGTGAGCAGTGCTTATTTGAGAGCGAGAGAAAATTTGCGCGTGAGCAGCGTATATTTGAGAAGTCGCAATCAGTTTTGTCCACAAACAGAGGAAATCTGTGCACGAGCATCACACAAGGTAGAGAGCAAAGCTCTTCAACGTTATGTGAAGAAAACAACGTTATTGTTTGTATGAAGTAGCCTACTTCATTAACAATATGTGCTACCATTTTACATTGCTGCTAGACGGATTTGCAACTCCATCTCTTCAGCACACACGTGATTCAATTGACAAAATTCCATTTTCACTCAATTTAACTTTGCAGCATATACAGGAGTTGGTCTACTGCTACCACATTGAGGTTATGTAATTTTGGTTAATCACAAGTTGATCACCGAAGACATAACATAGCACAACTAAACTTAATGAATTAGACAGCAGGAGACCTGCAATTTCTGTGTGATGTGAGGCAAAATGGAGTCTTTTTTTTGGTAGAACTCGTTCTTGTGCATTATGCTGTGGAGACGAGACGCAGCACTGTTCAGTACTTTTTCAGAAAATTGCATTTGTATTTTTATATATCTGAGCAATGTTCTTTCATAAAAAAGGTTTATTTAATTAATACAGATCTTACAACCATACCTAATCTGTATATATTTTAGTTTTCTGTTAAAAAGACTCGAAAAGACTCGAAAATCAAACTGCAGGACTTTGGACTTGACTTGAGACTTGTTGCTTTTGACTCGGGACTTGACTCGGGACTTGCCTGTCTTGACTCGGGACTTGACTCGGGACTTGAGGGCAATGAATTGAGACTTACTTGTGACTTGCCAAACAATGACTTGGTCCCACCTCTGGTAAATATACAGTGCTTCTGATGAGTTTTGGTAATTTTTATATTGGAATTTTTTTTATTATTATTATTAATATTTTTTTTTATAAAGTGGCACTTTATGACAAAAGTGTTGCCAATCCTTGAAGTAAATAAATAATTGAAGAGCTTTTGCACTCAGAGCATTCGCCCACAAACAAAGGCAAATTGCATCTATTTCAGCTTGCTAGTCTGATATTTGTTACATAAAACAACTGAATTTAAGCCCTCATTAAAAAGACTGAGTCATCAGGATCGGCATTGTGTGATGATCTCATAGCAATTCAGGAGCTGAAAAGTGTAGAGTAGTAACAACCATCTGTAATTGGTCATAAAGTTACACTCTATTGGTTGAGCCAGTTTAATGTGATGCTTTGGTAGCAAAAACAGAGCTTACCTATAGTTGTATCTGCAAAATAGGCTGTAATATACTGTAGGATTAAACCATTTGACATAAATCAATACACACTTTAGCTGATATCCTTTTATTTCTGCTGACTATTACTAAAATGATCACTGGGAAAAAAAAACATTATGCTGGGTATAATCTATAAAATGACACTGGTAACAGAATATCTTTATCAACAGAAAAAAATGAAGCTTAATTACAATTGAAATAATTATTTATTGTACCTGCAGAATAGTCAAAGGTCATTATCCTGTATAATATAAAATTCTGTATTGAAACTTGTGTACTGCATGTACAGACTGTACAATGTACAATGTATAACGTGCCAATCCAGCGATCGATGTCTATGGCCAGGTTTAAAACAGCTTGCATCATTAAATATTTTCTTCACAAATGATTTGTGCTTTATTTTTATCCAACCACAAAAAAATGAACTGTCACATGACAAATCAAACATCTATTTCAGTGAACATAGCAGTATTAGACAGATAGAAAAGAAAACATAGACACAACGTTATATACTGTCAGATAAATTTGTGTAGTGATGTACACACAATCTACAACAGACATACATTGGCTGCAGTTTAATTCAGAATACCAATGTAACATGCATGATCATTTTTGTCATGGGCTTCAATAAAACTATTTAATTCTTATTTACATTGTCTTTCATAGTCGGTAAGTCAAAGGCATTAATTTCTGTTTGCTTAAAGGTGCACCCAGTAATTTCTTTATAAAAAATATCTAAATATAGAATACATATTATATTTATTTAAAATAAATTAATAATAATAATGATGATGATGATGATGATGATGATAATAATAATAATAAGAAGAAGAATATAGGAGACTACTTGAAAATTAAAAGTTTCTCTGGAATTGCAAAGAAATCTTTAAATAAAACACAACAAAACTACTGACAATAAAAAAGGTGCTATGTTTTCAGGCACAGTCTATATTATAGTCTATATTATTTTTTATACAACTATTATGTCTGGTTTTCAAATCTGGTTGGCTGATAGCAGTGTTTTATTCTGCAATATCAGAACCCGTACAGCCTCCACACCCTTCTGTATTACTCCACCCACACTCACTGCAGTTTGACAAATAATGCAGCTGTTGGACAACCTAATGTACTTTTAAGGCTTTTTAGATGCAATTATGCAGTTTATTTATAAAGAAAATATTTTTCATTTTGGAGATACAGCACCATCCACAAGATAGCAACAGAGACTGCATAATAAGCCATTAGAGGAGAAAAACAAGCGTCATTTTAAGCTACAGCTGGTCAAATCACAATAAAACTAAAACTAAGTGACTTTCTAAGTTGATATCTCTCTTTTGTATAATTAGTGCTTTATTTATACCATAGTAATTGTAGTGTATTAAGTGTGAGATGGGACTCACATATCAGGAATGTATTTTGTGTTGGCCACTCTTTGTATAACCCTGAGTTACTTTTAGGTTAAGCATCTGATTGTTTCTAATGAATATCCTGTTTTCATTACTGCATACTAGTTCAGTAAAAAGAAAAAAAAAGAAGAAAATGCCCCCATGTGTTTAATGTTTTTCCCTATTACGAATCTGGTAGTGTTTGCGTTGCTTCAGCTTTTTCGAGGTTAGTTATTGTGATATCCCAATTGCAGCAGAGCAATACTGACAAATCTTTGTAGACTGATGGCATTTCATGCCATTCAGCCTTATAATCTTAAAATGTCAGCAAAAAGAACCTGTTTTATCATCACTTTAGATATCACGCTAGAGAATCACTCAAACACTAGCTCTAAAGTGACTTTGGTGATTTAGTACAGGCTTCTGCTGCTCTGACGTCAGCTGCCGGTTTTTAGATTCTCCATGTTTGATTTTCTTTTTTTTTACATTATTTTGTCATCAAACTGTTGTATAAATGCAATATCACACGAGTAGCAGTGTGATATGGCTGTATATTGTCACTGGTGGGGAACTAAGGCACGCCTTATATACAGCCATATCGCACTTCTACTCATGTGATATTGCTCATTTTCAATGCTAATGCTTTAGCTTCAGAATATTACGAAAGCATTAATTGGATGAATAATTCGCATTTTGACCAACTGTCATTGTTGTTTTTTATATTTTAATCTGAAATTTGGAAGAATCCAGATCTTCCAGTTAATTCATTTATTTATTCACATATAAAGTAATTATTGCAAATTGGTGTACACTCTGACTAATCACGTCTGGTTGCAAACAGTTAATTTATAATTGAACACACATTGCGAACTGATTTATTTTTTTGTTTAAATTGCAGTCCTGGCCCCTACGTGTCAGTAACTGTCCAAGACGAACAATCAAACGTAAATAAAAGATTACTGAGTGCACCTTTACAATATCTGTGTTATGTTTTTTTCACCATATTTATTTATTTTTTTACCTCATTTATTATTTTTTTTACAATATCTATCCCTTTATTAACAAGTTTTCAATTAAATAAATAGTTTGATGGCTAAATAAATACTTGAATAAACAAAGCATTGCGTAATCAGTTTCTCACCACTAAATTGATACAATGATGTAATTACAACATTCAGATCCCTGCTTGCATAAAAGTCTCATTCGCTAGCTCATGTCAAGAAGATACACTTCTTTACACATTCGAACTAAAAAAAAAAAAAAACAGATGCATCCGCACACATGCATTCCACTGTCAGAAATGATGGAGACACATAAATAAAACTCCACTTTTACATTCATTTGAACCTCCATTTTCTGTAATGTATTCATCCGCTCTCTCCTAAAAGCACCGCTTTATAAATCCCCCATTTCACATGGTGGTGAAAGATGGCACTAACCTCTGGTGAAATCTCCCATCTCTTCTCTTCTATGTGTGTGGTGAATAATATCCTCAGCAGTGCAATATCTTTATGAAAGCCTTTCTGAACTCCACATTGAAAGTGGTATATATGATGGGGTTGACGGCGCTGTTCACATATCCCAGCCAAGTGAAGGCATTGTACATTTCCAGCGGCACCACGCAGCTCGTGCAGTGAGTTTTTAAAATGTGAGTAATAAAAAAGGGCAGCCAGCAAATAATGAAAACACCTGCAACAGAGAGAATGAAGCTGAGGTATTCTAAGGACAAGACCTCAATATATGCTGAGCAATTGTTGTGTAAAATGACCTCACCTAAAACGATAGCCAGCATCTGAGTGGCCTTCTTTTCTTTATGCTGGGACATTTTCCTCTTGCTCATGGTTTTGGTCACTGTAGTTCGGGTTTTGCCATTAGGCAGTGCCTGAGTTTCAACAGGTTTGGTTTCTTTTGGGGACTGGACGTCCTTGGCATGGCCATTTTTCTCATCTCCGTTGGACTGATATTCGGCGTGGGATGGTGAGCCATGATTGGGACTTGGAGGTGTGGCCAACAAGTCGACGACTAGCGAGGATGCCAGTTTTTTCTTTTCGGGCGGACTGGTGCCTGCCACCATTTCCATCCCCACATCACCACCCTGGTGCAGGACCTCTTTTATTAGTTGCTGTTGAAGACATGTTTATCATTAGCTGTATGATGACACTTTGAATCAGTATACACTTCACTCTTGTTGTTCAGAAATAATGGCTACATTAAAGGAACACTGCTGGGAGCACTTTTAGCTTATTATAGAATATATAATTAAATCAGATTAGACCATTAGCATCTTGTTTAAAAAAAAGATTTTTAATTAAAATATTTTGCTTGACAATTCTGTGGTTATGTTGACTGCGAAGTTGTTATTTTGGTATTCAGGGCCAAGGGGCTCCGCTATGAACTGCCACCTTATCGTGCTTGAGAGCTTTTAGTGCCTGAGTGATCCTAAGAGCAATGTTGTCAGGGACTAATGCCCCTGGTAGGGTTGGTTGGGCTAAAAGCTCTTAGGTGACAAATCAGTCTAAGTGCGGTTCAAAACCCCTTTACAATCACAAAAGTATCACTGACCATGACGTTGCCCTGCATGGCACAGCTGAGGCCCTACCCTTGAGTCAGGCCTGGAGTTTGTATGCGAGAACCTTGTGGCCAGGTTTATCCAACGGAACCCAGCCGTACTCAGTCAGGGGTAGCTGTAAGGGGCCGGTGCACTGTGGAATGGGTGGTGGTCGGAGGTTAGGCCAACAACTGGATCATCAGGCACAGAAACTGGCTTTTGGGACATGGAATGTCACCTTACTGAACTCGAGGTTGTGAAGGAGGTTGAACGGTACTGGTGAAAGTTTGGCTAGCCTCCAGGCCCATTTTGGGCTCTGGAACACAACTTCTTGAGAATGGCTGGATTTTGGAGTTGCCCATGGTGAGAGGTGGTAGGCTGGTGTGGGATTGCTTATAGTTCCCCAACATAGTGTTGGAGTTTTCCCCAGTGAACAAGCAGCAAAAATTAGTTCGTTCACAGCATGGCAGGGCACACTATTATTGATTGGACATCAGGATCCCCCTGATGGAGCTAGAGGAAGTGTTTTTGGAGAGGGACGTCTGTGGTTCTCTCCTGTGACTGCTGCCCCCATGACCGGGCCCCAAATAAATGGAACAAATTAAATTAATTAAATAATGAAGGGCCAAGGGACGCTGGATGGTTGCACCTTTGCTGCTGGTTGTACTCACGCTACTCAACTAGCATACGTACCCCAAACGCACAACAAATTCAGCTACTGTGACAGTCTTCATACATAACTCAGTTATCAATTGAAAGGGAATGTTTTGGTTACCTCCATAACCCTCATTCTTTAAAAGAAAAAACAGAGACGTTATGTCCCCTTTGCCATTAAAGCTGAATTGCCTTGCTTGATCTGCTAGCCTGCAGGCATGCTTTATATACAGTACTCCTAATTGTGAAGTGGGTGCACCTGGAGGAGCTGCACTCACCAATCCCATACAAATTTCATTGGCTCTTTTTATACAAATCAGAGTAATTGGTCTTCTATGCGAACCCCCTAGTCAATCATTCGACATAACGTTTCTGTCAGCATGGAACGAGGATTATGCAAGTGACCAAGACTATAGATGACTCAGCAATCCAAATGTAACAAACAAACAAAACAAATTACCCTAACCTGCCTAGTTACCTAATTAAACTAGTTAAGCCAATAAATGTCAATTTAAGCTGCATAGAAAAATCTTGAAAAATATCTAGTCAAATATATTTTACTGTTATCATGGAAAATATTAAATTAATCAGTTATTAGAAATGAGTTATTAAAACTATTTTGTTTAGAAATGTGTTAGGAAAATATTCTCTCTGATAAACAGGAATTAGGGAAAAAATTAACAGGGGAGCTAATAATTCAGGAATAATATATATTCATTTATTAACTAATTCATTCATTTTCTTTTTGGCTTAGTCCCTTTATTACTCTGGGGTCGCCACAGCGGAATGAACCGCCAACTTATCTAGCACGTTTCACACAGCGGATGCCCTTCCGGCCGCAACCCATCTCTGGGAAACATCCATACACACCCATTCACTACGGACAATTTTGCCTACCCAATTCACCAGTATCACATTGGATTGTGGGGGAAACCAAAGCACCAGGAGGAAACCCACACGAACACAGGGAGAACATGCAAACTCCACAAAGAATTGTCAAGACGAGCTTCATTCTCAGATGACTCCCTGCGTTAACGCTTGTGTCTCTCTGTCTCTCCCACAGCGGACTCCAGCTCGTGACGATCCAGCACCCGAACTCTCACTATCCCTCACCTTCTCCCCGAAGCACCTTTACCAATAAGAGCATCGTATTTCACCCCTTTCACTTTGTAAATAAAGCACCCTCCGGAGACTTATTTTGTAACTAAACGCAACTGTGTATGTGTTTTCCCTCTGCCTCGCTACAATATATATATATATATATATAGACAGTTGAGGTCAGAATTATTAGCGCCCCTGAATTATTAGCCCCCCTGTTGATATTGTCGCTCAATTTCTGTTTGACGGAGAGATTTTTTCCAACACATTTCTAAACATAATAGTTTTATTAATTCATGTCTAATTACTGATATTTTGGCTAATATTTTGACCTTAAAATGGTTTTTAAATAATTTAAAACTGCTTTTATTCTACTCAAAATAAAACAAAATAAAATAAAATAAGACTTTCTCCAGAAGAAAAAAAATATCATACTGTACAGTGAAAATTTCCCTGCTCTGTTAAAAATTATTTAGGAATTTAAAAAATAAAATAAGGGGGGCTAATAATACACATAGGATATCAGAATGTATGCAGCTGCATGCATATGTCAATCAGAGAAATACATGCTATTTACATAATTTTTTTTGCTGGTTTTAAAAGTACTTACTGCTTTCTTATTTTTGGCAGGTACACCCCCGTTGGTCTTAATGATAACGGTGCACAGTTTCACATCTTCAGGATGAGTGCACTTTTCCTGTGGCAGAGGTAATAAGAATTTAATTCAGTGTGTGGTCGACATTAAATTTCAAAAACAGCATGAAAATCATTCAGATGTATATTTGGCACTTTTTGATGACAGACAATGCAAATAAATCCAGGGAACTCGAAAGAGCCCTTCTAGCACTAAAACGGAATGAAAAAAGTGATTGCTTCAGTAATTTTTAAGCACCAAAAAAAGTCCTTGGGACCTTTTAAAACTAGACGGCTGAACCTATTGATCCAAAGGGGCCATTAAAAACAGCTGGTGTGAGAAATCAATGATGAAAGAGCGCAAAGGTCAGAAGAAAGAAATCATTTGTAGCTCTCCAGTACTGCGATGAAAATAGAATATGAATACTTAGAAACTGCACTATATCACAAGCACAGTCTGCCGTGACACATAGATTGCATGGGGAATTATGTTTATAAACCTTACAGCGGCAGAAAAAAAATGGCTTACAATTGTTGGCATTGTGTTGGTTTTGTTCAGATTGTTGTAATAGCTTTACTTTCACAGTGTCCGGAGGGTAATGCATATTCAAAAAAGGTTAAATCAATGTCCCATAACAAAATACAAAATCCACAGTGGAGACGCAGTCTAAAGACAAACTACTAATTTTTTGTTTGGATGCCTATTAAGATGCTGTATCTATCTGCCAACAGTGAGAATTCAATTAAATAACTGAACTAAACAAAAACATTGATTTCAGGGCTGAATAATAGCTTTGGGTTTACTGCATACAACTAGGAAAAAGTTCAAAATAATTAAAGAGTTTCAAATGTTTTTGAAAGATGTTTGTTCGCCCAAGGCTGAGCATAATTAATTAACAATGCATTAAACAGTAATATTGTAATATGTTTATGAAACTGTCATGACAGACCAGGTAAGGAAAAGGAACGGTGGATCTAGATGCAGCTTTTGGACTGATTTGCTGTAAAGTTATTCCCTTGTTTACAAACAAACTAAATAATTCAACAACAAAGGAGTAGCTCAAGATACAAAACAGGGCAAAATAAAACTAAAAAGAAAGTAAACTAGACACCGGTGACCACAATCTACCTGCATAATAACAATAAACAAGCAAACAAGATTGAATGGACCAAAGAAAAAGACAACTAAACAATAATTGCAAAAGCAAACTGATTGTGACGAAAATACCTATTTTCTATTTGTACATTAGTTTTAAAATTAAATTGTATATGAAGAGCCAAAGCAGTCCTTAATCCAATCTTAAGAGTTACATGATCTTTCCGATAACATTGATAGAGTTTTTCATAATAATTCTCACAACTATAAACACAATCTGCAAACAGCAAATTGTTATATGCAATGGTATATACACCCACGGGCCACTTTATTAGGTACACCTGTCCAACTGCTCATTAACGCAAACTTCTAATCAGCCAATCACATGGCAGCAACTTAATGCATTTAGACATGTAGACATGGTCAGGACAATCTGCTGCAGTTCAAACTGAGCATCAGAATGGGAAAGAAGGGGATTTACTGTAAGTGACTTTAAACGTAGCATGGTTGGTGCCAGATGGGCATTAGTATTTCAGAAACTACTGATCTTCTAAGATTTTCACGCACAACCATCTCTCGGGTTTACAGAGCATGGTCTGAAAAAGAGAAAACATCCAGTGAGTGGCAGTTTTGTTGGTGCAAATGCCTTGTTGATGCCAGAGGTCAGAGGAGAATGGCCAGACTGTTTCGAGCTGATTAAAAAGGCAATTTTTAACCTTTTGAGGCTTATACGTGTTATGATCTGTATTGTTGTCAAACTGCTGAAATGAAGTTAAATTGTGCTTTCAGTTCATACAAATAAGATCAATACATCAATCACATCTGTTATGTGTCTACTTTATGTTGTGTACACTCACAACAACAAACGTATTGTAATGATGTAAATTATGTGTTTTTCCAACCTACTGTACCAAGCATGATGTAACACCCCCCCCCCCCCCCCCCCCAAACAAAATCAAAACCTTGTAAAAGAGCATAATTGAACCACTTTACACAGAAAGCAAAATTCTAAATTTCTAAGCATTTTCTAAAAACAATGTTGCTGTATTACTATACATTTTTGACCAGTAGTGCATCTCTGTTATGGAGCTCCAAGTATTACCACAGAAACTCTATAATAAACTCTGACAGCTACTTCCTATATTTTCTAGTAAGAGGTCAACTCCTTTTATTAAACGCCACTGACACCATGTCTTGTCCAGTGGGGAATGCTCTGTATTTTCCCTCAGGCTATTGTCTCACATGGTGCATATCACCTTGAGAGGGGGCTGAGCATCAGCGTCTGTCTTCTGGCAGCTCCGTTTAGTGTTGACCCGTTTCCGCCGCTTGCGTAGAACCACGTAAATCTGCACGTAGACGAGGAGGGTGATAATGAAGGGCACGTAGAACGACATGATGGAGGAGTAGACAACAAAAGCGGGGTTGGCAATTTCACACACAGAGCCATCCCGTGTAGCTAAGAGAGATAGAGATAGGGAAAATATGGTTACTCAATTAATTATGATTGCAAAATGTAATTAGCTCAGTGACACACTAGCAGATGCCTGTATTTGGCGAATTTCCCATAGCAATCAAAAATTACCATGGGATTATAATTAGGTTTGAAACATTCTGGTAAATGTTTACAAATATTACAACAGTATTGGCTCAAATCAAAACTTAATGCAAAAGAACATAAATTTAATATGTTAGAGCAGTTCAAATTTAAAAATATCTAAGTGCCGTCATAATTTTTTTAGGTTATTTCACTTTAAAGGTGATAAAATAAATATCTGGTGATGATGTGTCGACTTTGTATTTTTTATATAATCAACCTCAAATGGATCCTATTTGTCTTTACTCACCTCACTTTGTTTTAATTTTGATTGTTATTGTATTGTTTAACTTAAAAAAATACATCTTTGACAAGATCTTATAGTGATGATGTCATGCAAACCATTATATAATTATTTATTAGTTTGCTTCTGACATTTTCAGAGGTCAAAAGTGAGACAGAAATTTTGTTCAAATTGTTATTTCAGTGGCACTATATGCACGTTTTGCCACTTGAGGTCACATACTCTAAACCAGGGATTCTCAACTGAGGGCCACATCCTGCAGTGATCCTGCAGGTGGCCCACGGGTTTAAAATTAACTTTAATTATAATACTATGATTTTTGAATTTCATTATTAATATACTATATCAAAATGATCAAAGTAATGCACTTTCTTTTGTTCTCTGATTGAGAACTTCAAACTCGGCACAAAAACTCATGATCTCATGATCGCATCAGGTACACGTAAATTTTTTCATACACAACCTATGCTTGAGGTGAAAGTAAAAGTCTGTCTTAATGTATTTTTGTGTGAACTATTTAATATATTTGCATAGTTGTCCAAAATAATGTCCTGTACTATAAATGTTTTATATTGGATGTGCGCCCATACAGGAGGATATAGCGAGGCTCAATGGTCTTTCTGCCATAGAATGTAAAATAAACTTGCAAATGAGCTTCAGACGTGCGCTGGCGTAGCTGTTCACTGTTCCTGTCAGCGATCTCCCAATAACATCCTGCTGCAAACTCAACTGCCATCAGATTGATGCATTTAAACAGGGTATTTTACATTTGTCTGTATCATTTGAAATGATAGATATTTAATAGTGGATATTCAGTCAGTCCAGTTTAAAGCAGAAGCTGGTCTTTTGCAATCTCCCTGTTGACCTGTGGTATATATATGTTTAGTAATAAATAAAGGTTTAAATAAGAATTTCATTCAAACATTTTAGAGAAAATGTCAGACAGGTGGGCCTTCAAAAATTGGTCTGAGAAAGAAGTGGGCCCCGAAATGGAAAAAGTTTGAGAATCCCAGCTCTAAACAACTTAGCATTTTTGCAAGTATTTTGTTTTTTAAAGATGTCTAATAAACATTTATACATAGTCATCTTAGCTAAAACAAGGCAAAATTTGGGCTGTTAGTAAAAAAATCTAATAGATATCTAAGAATAGGCCAAAACTAGACTAGTCATCAAATAAACAGAAATGAATGACTACACATATAAAGTCTGTCTAATCTGTCTATTTGAAGACTAGTCTAGTTTTGGGCAATTTTTAGATGTCTCTTAGATTTTCACTAACAACTCAAGTTTTGCCTTGTTTTAGCTAAGCTGTCTAAGTTTAGATGTCTATCAGAGGTCTATTTAGCACAAAATTGTTTGCTGGCCTTGTCTAAAATAACCTATACCAGGGGTCACCAAACTTGTTCCTGGAGGGCCGGTGTCCTGCAGATTTTAGCTCCAACCCTAATCAAACACACCTGAACAAGCTAATCAAGGACTTTTTAGGTATACTTTAAACATCCAGGCAGGTGCTTTGAGGCAAGTTTGAGCTAAACCCTGTAGGGACACCGGCCCTCCAGGACCGAGATTGGTGACCCCTGACCTATACCATCCACTGTACAGTGCACTCTATTGGGTGTCTTTTATATTTTTGTACAACATTCATTCACTAAATTTGTAAAATCCATTGCTATGCAGCTAAAGAGCAAAATATTGTTGAATGGCTAGTGTGAACACAGGAAGCTGCCAATTCAATTGAAGTATTTATGGGGTTTATTGCTTTTATATAATACAGCAAGCAATAAACCCCATAAACACATGGTTTACATTGAATTTACACCTAACAGCTAAGGGCGTTTTAGGCATGGCACAGTTTCACAGGGCTTATTGCTTTTTAAAAGGGTAATTCCATATGCATTTTACAACATAAAGGAAATTTAATGGATTCTTAAGTTCAGTATTGATAGGAGTGTGATGGTTGCAAAGCAGCAATCACAAATGCATGTTGTAGAATATATCAAAACAGCATAGAATGTGGCTCAACCAATCACAGTCATGGACTAGAACTATATATTTTATAATTAATAATAATAATAAATCCTTACGAACAAACAAATGTGAATTTGGTATTTTTATTTTAATCAAATAAATATAATTAAAAAGTAAATAGGTGGCTCAGTGGTTGTCAGAAGGTCACCAGTTCGAGACCTGGCTGGGTCAGTTGGAATTTCGATGTGGAGTTTGCATGTTCTCCCCGTGTTGGCATGGTGGCTCCGTTTTCCCCCATAGTCCAAAGACACACGGTATAGGTGAATTATATAAACTAAATTGGCTGTAGTGTATGAGTGTGTGTGACTGAGTGTATATGGCGTTTCCCAGTGTTGGGTTGCAGCTGGTAGGGCATCCGCTGTGTAAATCATATGCTGGATAAGTTGGTGGTTCATTCCTCAGTGGCGACCCCTGATGAATAAAGGGACTAGGCTGAAGGAAAATTAATGAATTAAAAAGTAAATAACAAGCAAGATAAGCTGTTGTTTTGTTCTCTTTGTTGTCAAATAATGTAATAATGGTAAAAAATATAAACTGACATTTAATGCACAAAGCCTAATGGGATTTATTTCAGGACGGTTGTTGTAATGAGACTTATTGTTTAAGTTACTGTCTGAACTCACTAACTCATTTTAGTGCCCTCATTCCTGATATAGTCAATGCAACTGACATGCTTTATATAGTGATTAGTGAGTAGTGAATGAGTGAGCAGTTTTAGACATAGCTATATCCTGATGAACCTGTAAATTTGCAGGGAATCGTAAGATTTTGGGAATTAACACACGAATGGAAAAAAGCAGATAGGACACGAGACTAAAGGAGGATTAGAAATAGGACTAAAGTAGGGTTGAAATTTGACAATATAACTTTTTTTATTTAACCATTAAACTTTGTATCAGAGTAACACCAGCAAAGATAATGAATAAGTGCCTTGCAAGATGCTACAGCTAGTATATTAGTATATTTGGATAATGTGAGAACACAAATACATACCATTGTTCTACACTACCTGTCAAAAGTCTTGTTACCTATCCAAGTTTTGGGTACAACAAATAGTAACTTAACTCCTAGTTGATCAGTGTCAGAATTGGCGGTCCCACTTTATATTAAGTGTCCTTAACTACTATGTACTTTCATCAAAAAGAAGTACAATGTACTTACTGTGTTCATAATGTATTTGAGAACACCTGTGGTGCTCTTGAGTTGGGATAGGGGTTGGGTTATGGACAGATTTGGTGGTGGGGGTAGGTTAAAGGGTAGGTTAAGTTGTAGGGAATGGTCAGAGGTGTATTTACAAATGTAATTACAGAAGTTAATTACAGATATAACTACATACATGTATTTAATCAAACATAAGTACACAATAAATACATGTATTTACACAATAAGTACATTGTAACAAACTATTAGTTCCTGTTTAAGTACATATTAGTTAAGGCCACTTAATGTAAAGTGGAACCGAATTGGCTTATACGAAAGGAAAAGGTCTCTAGATTGTGCTTGTTTTACCAAAATAAAATATGATCATGCCTTGATTTTTAATGATTTAATCAGGACAGTAAGGTCTGACTTTGCTTAGAAAAAAGTCTTGTCACTTAACATAAATAATGTACAGTATAGAATATAAAGTCATGGAGCAGTGGAAAAAGAATTAATAATTGAAAAATTTATATTGAAAAATTAGACATCATTCTACTTGACATGCTTCGCGGGATGTAAAAAGACCAATTGTATGAATTATGGAAAAAGGGTTGAGAAATTATAAGCAAAAAAGTTATTTTGTATCTCCGGACCACTAGGGGGCAGTGTGTTGAAACGGTGTAGCTATCTTCAGACCATGTTTGTGATAACACGCACCAAGTTTGGTGCAAATACGTCAATGCATTTGGGAGATTTTCACAAGTTCTACGTTAAATTGTTTGCAAGTTATTCGAAAACCCTTCGTCTAATCAACTTGAATTTAACAACTTTTGGTCAGCATGGTGTGTAGATCGTTTGATTTTTTTTTTTTAATTGGACAAACAGCCAAGTACGAGTTTGTTCAAATTGGTTATGTGAAAAATTCAAAATAACGATAATTTTTTTTTATCGGCTTGAGCAAAGGAATCAAAGGGGAAAAATAATTTTGATTGTAGCTCATTTGGTTGAAAAGTTATAAAGATTAACATAAGTGAAAATTTGGACAAGTGGTGGCGCTAGAGAGTTCAAGTTCTAGTCCAAATTTGTTGTAGATCAGACTGTCCTCTATCAGTGTGCCAAAGTTTGCGCAAATGCCACAAACGGTTCTTAGAGCTGCTATAGACTTCCCAAACTAAAAAAAAAGCAGACGTAAGAATAATAATAAGAACTGGAACGGATACAATAGGTGCCTACTGCCTACACACTTAATTTGTGTTACAAACGATAATAAAGGCAATTAGAACAACATAAGGAACAAAGCATTTACCTGTGTTATTTAATCCAAACAGCAGGGGGCAGGAAATGGCGAATGAAAGCACCCAAACAACGGAGATCATTACAGTGACCCGTCTCTTGGAGCTGTAGCGTGTGTTGTACAGCATCGGCATGGCAACAGCCGTGTACCTGCACGAGAAGCCCAGAGGGAAGGAGATGAAGAGGTGCTGGATGGGTTGGGCAGCTTTTTGCATTCAAGCCGACAAACAGAAGAAAACAATGACGGTCACATCTGACCAGCTGCTCCTGCTAACAGCTGCCATTATTGTGTCATCTTCTCTCTGGCTTTTGTAACTGTTTTAAATCTAAACATCATCACCACCATCGTTTTCATTTTTAAAGCCTCAGGAGGTCTTTCTACTCTAACAAAAAGCTTGTAAACTTGGTTTATCTCACTGAAATGAATAATGCTGCAAAAATTGTCCTGCTGAAGGAGTTTGAATTTGCATTGTAGAATTTCTTCATGTTTTTCAAAAGACTACTGTTACCTGCCATCCATTCTTATCATTATAGTTTTGATGCTGGTTTAATGGTTTAAGGGTGCTTTCACATCTGTGGTTTGGCTCATTTGGTCTGGACCAAGGGCAACAAATGATACATTGTAGCATTTTTTCTGCCGTTTTGGGTCCTTTTTTTACACCACACTAATTGCTTTGGTCTAAACCAATGATTGTAAAAAATATAGAAGACGCAACAGCACTTTTTCCCATTGAACGCTTTGAAGGAAAGAAGCGTCATGACAGAAAAAAACTGTTGCAAAAAACTGCTGAAACTGAAGCCTTGGCATGCGCAGAAGGGACTACCAGATGGAGCCAGAGGCGAAGCCACGAAATCAAGCTTCCAATCTAACGCTTGTACAATTGAAGTCAGAATTATTAGCCCCCTTTTGATTTTTTTTTCTTTCTTTAATATTTCCAAAATGATATTTGACAGAGCAAGAAAATTTTCACAGTATGTCTGATAATATTTTTTCTTCTGGAGAAAGACTTATTTGGGGGTTTTTTTTTCGGCTAGAATAAAAGCAGTTTTTAATTTAAAAAAAAAAAAATTTTTGGGACAAAATTATTAGCCCCTTTAAGCTATTTTTTTCCGATAGTCTACAGAACAAACCATCATTATACAATAACTTGCCTAATTACCCTAACCTGCCTAGTTCACTTTATTAACCCATTAAGCCTTTAAATGTCACTTTAAGCTGTATAGAAGTGTCTTGAAAAATGTCAAGTAAAATATTATTTACTGTCATCATGACAAAGATAAAATAAATCAGTTATTAGAAATGAGTTATTAAAACTATTACGCACAGAAATGTGCTGAAACAATCTTCCCTCCATTAAACAGAAATTCAAGAGTTCACACTTAGCTGATGATTTACAAAGCTTATTTGGCATGCTGTCCCGGGAGAGAGCCCCGAGCTCAAGGGCTCCTCGAGCCCGGGGCTTCCTCCCGTTGGCAGAGCAAGAAGGGAGCCTGAGCTCGGTGGATCTCAGAACTCCCCTGCCGCTGTAGCTAAGGGAACGTAAGGAATTAGACCAGCTTGATTGTTAAGTATGTTGAATGTCTTTGGATGGTGGGAGGAAACCGGAGAGCCCGGGGAAAACCCACGCGGACACGGGAAGGACATACAAACTCCCCACAGAAACACTCACCGGTCCTATCGAACTAGGACCGGCAGTATTCTTGCTGTGTGGTTCACAGTGCTAACCACTGGACCGCCGTGCCGCCCAATTACAGGTAAAGGAGGAGAATAGGGGAGGAGGGGGGTTTCTTCCAAACGAAGATAAAGTGAACTGAAAACTTAGACTATTTATGGTGCCTTAGGGCTCATATGATTGGAAGATTAGTGATTAGCAAATGCGAGACTGGACGTGATAAATCATAAGCACGTGATCCTCTCGAAATTAGTTTATGAATAAACTTCACTTAGGGAAAAAAATAAACAGGGGTGCTAATAATTCAGGGGGGCTAATAGTTCTGACTTTAACTGTATGTCAAATCAACCACGCCCCCCAGACTTCCCATTTGACCGCCTGAATCTGCACTATAACAAAGGCTTGCTAAATAAATATAAGCACTGACATTCAACACATAATACAAAAGAACATGCAATAATATACAATTTTTAAACAATATGAAGCTGTTTTAAATAATTCAATAAAAACAATATATGTTAGAGTGCAAAATAAACAAACTTTCATTCACTCTAGCCTGAGTTAGACTCAGCTATGAGCACAAAAAAGGGGTAGAAATATCCATTGTAAAATTTGAACAATAACATTATAAACAACACAAACATTTTTAGAGGGGTTTTTATTTTTAATTAGCAATCAACTGAACCCAAAATATACACATCATGGACAGCTAGTTGCCATGCGGGAAAAATCATGTGTTTACAATATTAACACAGTAAGATTTCTGAATATCAACATGATATTTACACAACCCATCCATGCACGATATAAAATAATCCATGTCAATTTGTGCAATGAACTTAGCAGTATTAATATATCAACTGATGTCTATATGATATAGGCCAGCTGCTGCAACCTCGCTTGTATATGGTTTATCATTTTTTTCCCCTGTTTTCATTTGGTTTATTCCATACCTTTAATTTCTGGCAGTTTACCATCAAGAATTTACCATAATTTTAATGTTTAGTAGGTGTTTTCAAATGAAAAGCCACCGGTAAATGGTGTATATAAATAATATAACATTTACAGCTCTATTTGTTTTATAAGATTATGCTTCTAGACATGTATATTTTTAACAACAAATTTAGAAGATTGACTCGACAACAAGCCATAACTCAAAATGTCACAGATGTCTTTTAAATCAAGTACAAATAACGTTACCGGGGGTCAATGTGGAGATAGGCTAACCTCAGTTTTGTCTTCCTAATTATTATTTCAGATCTATATCTGCTTGATAACAATCCCCTGTATTTTCCCCATCATGTGTCTATCAGCAAACTAATAATAAAGCCCTCACTTTACCAAATAAACAGTGATCCATCATATTCTGTAGGTCAGAAAATATGGTTTACAGCTGAACTCCTTTAATCATGGTAAAATAGGACAGAAAGTTCCGCCAATTTGCTTTGTGAAACTGTCAATCACAACTGTCAATCACGATGACACGCCCCATTTTTATAGCAATAAATGGTTAAAAACATACTGTATACAAAAATGAACATCTGAACTAATATTAGCTTGATAGCCAGTGCATCAATTGCAAGTGCAAAACAATTGCTCGAAAACAATGTTTTAATGCATTGTAAATGATGTGCACATCGCACCTCACTTCAAGAGGAGACATGAATTAATTTAGCTAAACTGCGACATGGTCATCTTTTGGAAATATAAGCAACAATCCATCATGTAATTTTTCTTCCCTCTCTCTCTGTTTTAAATCAACAAATGTTTTTTACTCCACATCTCATAACGCACAGTGCATCGGACTATGGCAGCTAGATTAGTCCAAAAAGGCACAGTACTTTTTGTGATTGGGTCTGTTCTAGTTCAAATCATGTTCTCACCACAAACGAATCACTTCAGGGTTCATTAGAAAGTACCGAGACCACCTCTTCAAGGAGATCTCAGTACTATTTTTTTGGTCCCTTTTTAGTGCACACTCGACTGCGATTTCTACATTCAAACCTACACAAACAAACCACACCAAGAGGGAAAATGAACTTCAAGAGATTTCACCAACTAAATAAGGCAGGTGAGAAAATACTCTTAGATTCTTTTTTGTGTTTGATGGTATTTTCTATATATACTGTTTTTTCAGCTTTGAATTGATGTTAATCTGGCAATTCCCCAAATTATCTCTAACCTTATTTAAATAACAGTCTAACATTTCAGTTTTCACTGAATATGCAAGATGCTGAAACCACATATTATTAAGAGGAAGGTCAAAGGGAGACTCTTTAATCCATAGTATTGGCCACTGACCACTCCAAATCTGTAATGTTTGATTCTAGAATATTTCATCTTTACCATGTCAAACTAATTGATGTTGCTCTCAAAATAAAGATATTGCTAGAAGGGATACAGCTGTGGACGGAAGTTAATAACTGTTATATTGTTAATTAAATGATCCAGTAATTGTATTTTATTAACGTCTACCCCTGCCCCAATTCTAAACCCAACCATCACAGTAATGTATAAACAGTAATTATACCAAGTATTATTCATATTATTTATTAAATAACCCACTGAATTGTTTTTAATTGTTTTCTTACCCATAAGAAATCCATATAAAAAATGCTGTTCTAATCTATGCTGACATGGTAATTAAAACAATTGATTTACAGATTTTAAGTGCAACTAAAATTATTTCAAATTTTGAAAGTTATAGTCCAAAAGTGTAAACAAATTGTCCTCTAATTTTGATCTGCACAGTGCACTACACAGTGTTCAGCTACTGTATAATTGGTTATTGCAAAAATCTCACCAGTTGTGTGTGCTTGTTTCACATTTTCAATTCAGCCTGGCATGAAAACTATATCTATAGAAGTTATGGTGATTAATTAGCTTGGGGAAATATAAAGTAAATCTTAGTGCCTGTGACCAATATTTACAGTCTGTTATTTTTTTATTATAATATTGTCTTCCTAGATGAAAAAAAAAAAACATTTAGAAGGACAATACAAATCAATTTAAAGCGTCTTTTTCTTAATAAAATAAATAAAGCATGAAGTATATTTATATGTGTGTGTATTCATGTGTGTGTGTGTGTGTGTGTGTGTGTGTGTGTGTGTGTGTGTGTGTGTATTAATGGCATAAATTTATTTATAGTGATATTTAGATATTTCAATTAATCAATCAATCCCGATTTTAAAGAGTACAGACTTGAAAGATCCAGAATTTAAAACAGAATTTTTGATCAGCAAGTCAGGTACATGTGGCAATAAAAACTAGAGTACTGATCTTTGAACATAGGAATAAATTACAACATACTGTATTTAGGCTAGAACAACTGTTTGAGTCACAACATAGAAGATGTCTTTTTGATAAGGCACACAAATCAACCCCCATTCCACTCCACCCTGAAGATCAATATTGATATATGGTAAGATATTATTGATATATGGTATTCGTGTCATTTAAGAGAATCATTAAACATTTCCTGGCCTGATAGTGGAACCTACCTGTCAATACTAATGGCACACAGATTAAGAATGCTGGCCGTGCACATCATGACGTCCAGGGTAACAAATATATCACAATGGATTTTACTAAAGCGCCACTCCCCGACCACCTGAAACAAACAAACATGAAAAAAAAAACACTTAAGACAAGTTCAGTTATTCCTTTGATGAACAGAAAGCTTGCAGAGGAGTTTTTACTTCAATAAGATATACTTTGTAGTATTATAACTGTCTTAGTGTTTTGTGTCCACACCAAATTAAAGTGATTGCATTTACATAGAATAAATACACTGTATGCAAGTAAAAGGTTTACATTAATATTTTCAAATATTTTCAAATATTTTAATTTTAATGTCAAAATAAGGATAAAATTGTTTGTCACCATCATTTATTGTAACAATTATTATATCTGCACTCAATCACTTCACCTTCAGCTTAGTCTCTTCTTTATCAGGGCTTACCACAGCAGAATTAACCGCTAATTATTCTGACACGTTTTACTAGCGGATGTCCTTCTTTCTGTAACCCAACCATGAAAATAAACCCTCAGTGCTGGGAAGCACCCATACACTCTCTCATTCACAAACACACCCAAGCACACACACAAGGCTCTGTTTTAGCGGTCTAGGCGCAAAGTATAAAGAACATGGCGCAAAAGCATTAAGAGCACGTCTGAATCCACTTTTGCTATTTTAAGTACAGAAAAATATGCTCTGCGTCTGGCACATGGTCTAACAGAGTTGTACTTATTCTCTTAACGAGTTATGGGTGTGTTTTGAGTATAATGTATATTAAACCAATCAGAGTCTCATCTCCAATTTCTTTTCAGAGTCAGTTGCGTAGCGCCATGGTGCATTTATGCTTCACTAGCGAGAAAACAGTTAAACAGACCATCTGCAGCGAGGATAAAGAATGAGCCGCCTCCATTCAGCCTCTTTACTTTGTCCTTACTTTACTTTTTACTTTACTCCTTTACTTTCATGAATAAGGAAACTGAAGACATCCATTAGCCTACATATTGAATTTTGTTTGTTAAGCACAACGATTTGTTCAAAACTATTTCTAAATTCAGTTCTAATTTCCAGCAGATGAATAAATGAATTCTATTTATAAATGAAACTATTTGATCACAACTTTCAACAAGCAGCTGTCTGTGAATATGTCAAACCAACAATCAAAGATCACTGATTTTAGCCTAGGATTTCAGGAATCTTTTTTTTTTTTGATTTTCCAAATTGGTCTCAGATGACAAAATCCGTGCTGAAATCTCACACTGTGAGCAGGGCTTCAGGCACAGGTGTCAAAATCTGGAGGGTCGCAGCTCTGCACAGTTTAGTTCCAACCCTAATTAAAGACACATGGCTTAAACTAATTGTGTCCATCAGGCTTGTTTGAAACCTACAGGTTATTGTGCTGGAGAAGTGGTTAGGACTGTTGCTGGTTCTCCCCATGTTCGCATGGGTTTTCTCCGGGTGCTCTAGTTTCCCCCAAAGTCCAAAGACATGCACTGTTGGGGAATTGGGTAAACAAAATTGGCCCTAGTGTATGAGTGTGTGTGTGAATGCAAGAGTGTATGGGTGTAATAAGTGTTTATAATAGGTTTGTTTTCTCTGTTATCTGTTGTCAGACACGGTCTGCATTGTGGGAATGTCTTCTCTTGAATCAAAGTAAGTGTGTAGTGTGCTGCTTTTTTAAATGCTTAAAGTGAAAGTGAAAAAAAAGTTGAACAAAGCTGATTTTGTTTGTTTGTTTGTTTGATTCATTCGTTTTTTCATTCTGCAAAAAACTCTCATATTTCATTATGCATTCATTATAAATTCAATGTGTTCCAAGAATTATGATATGAGAAATTAATGATATAAATTGTGGGTGAGCTATCACTTTAATTATTATTTGGGGACTGCTCTATAATCCTTAAAAAGTGTCTTTTAAATTGTCCTCATTTTGATTCATAAAAAGTGCCTGTGGCTTAATTGAGCACAAATACACAGTTTTGGATTAATTAGGGTGCATAGAGTGGAACCATTTTGACTGTATTATATTTGAAGATTTTTCAAATAAAATTACTTACAACTGAATCCATCATTCTCTTTCTACATTACTTTTTGTAAGGAATATCACATTATTTTGCCTCCCTGTCCTTTCATTTGAAGCCTTAATGCATTTTTGTACACAGAGGGTTTTAACATGCCATAGAGCTTTAGAAATACTGCTGAGAACCCATTAATACACACAAATCAGTGTGACGGAAAACAGAAGCATTTCTATGAAATATTAAAGCAGGCAGTTTTACAACGCAAGGGATGGTATGATAACTCACAGAAATGTGGCAAACGGCAATTGAGAGGTTGGAGACATGTTCATGCCTTGTTAATATTTTATGTTTGGCTATTTTCAGTTGTAGGTCCGCTGATTTGAATGAATGAGATTATATTAGATGTGATTTGAAGGCATTAGCATATGCTTCATTTACTTTCTATAATTATACAACATTTTTATATAATGTATTAGGGAGTGAATTGCATTAAATTCCTTATGCAGTGTAATCAGATTTGTTTTTGAATTATTCATGAAACAACAAATTGATTCTATGGTTGTTTAGCTTTGGTTTTACTATTCATTTCTTGATATTAGGTTTAAAGTCCATGCACAACCCTTCCATTCAAATATATTAAGCTCTTAGCTATTAAGCTCTTAGCATGAATAAGTAAAGAGGCACTTGAAGTATGCACACTTACAAAGCTAATTATCTGACAGTAACATTGCTTTTTTTTTTATAAGACCGTATAAAGCATTTGTGTTCACACTAGAATATGTTATACAAACCTGTGTTGGGTTCTCTGAAAATCCAATTTTTCTAATATTAAATTAAGACTTTGCTTAGAAAGTGTTTTCTTAATAATGGCATATGCCCTTAACAACTGGGAACCTATTAGCACTCATAAGGCACCATATTAGCCAGCAGTAGCTAGAACCAGGGGAACAGAGGAGGGCAGAAGACTGAGAGAGCTAATAAAAGAGCAGGAATTTTCAAAAAACAACCTGATACAGTATCACCTCGAACTCTTTCAGCCAGCCTGCTTTCTTCTCATTCTCAGGAGACATGATGAATAAATCTCCATTTCCTGTGACTGCTAACCTGTCATATTTAATCTGTCCATCATTTTCACCAAGAGTAAATTGCAGAAATTAATGAAGTTTTTGTAAGTGACAAAAGAGCAAAAAGTTAAACTGTAAACTTTTTAATATTACTACATCTAGAGACAAGCAGATCAAAAGAGTGTAATCAGATCGATAAGCATACACATACTGTAAAAAGATGGATGGATGGATGGATGGATACGTATATAAAAATGTATAGATGGATGAATTGATGGATGTATGGATGTATAAGCATACACATATAAGGATAGGTTAATTAATGGATGGATGGATAGATGGAAAAGAATTCATATATGAAAATGGATGGATGAATGGAAGGATGGTGGATGCATGAATGGAAGGATGGATGGATAAGCGTACATATTCAGTGCATCCAGAAAGCATTCATAGTGCTTCAATTTTTGATTTTTCAGGTTTTTTATTTTTAATAGCTCAGATGGATAGATAATGTAATGTAATATAATGTGTATTTATATAGTGCATTTATTGTGTACGGCCATGAGGGTGGGGCCTCTCCACACCACCACCAGTGTGCAGCATCCACTTGGATGATGTGACTGCAACCACAGGACAATGGTGCCACTGCGTTCACCACACACCAACTATACTGTAGGTGTAGTGGAGAGACAGTAGCCCCTTTCACACAGTAATACTGGGAAATATCTGGAAAATATACGGAGAGACTTTACTGGTAAAAAAAGCGCTGTTCACACAGGCAAGGACGTTACAGAATTATTACGGAAAAGACCGGTCACACATCCATTACAAAATACCAGTAAATTCTCATATCATTAACCAGAAATGAGCTCCAAACTGCTGCGCTTGTATTTGTAAACATTTGACTAACATTACAAACTCTATGGATGGATCAGTAACATGAACAACTTTGATGAAAACATATAGAAACACTTTCGCATGTCGAGATGTACATGATATGTGTGTGTGCTGGCGCTCTCTCCTTCATGAGCACAAGCGACACGTCAAGCAACTGCAAGCAGAGCTTAAAGGTAAACAAACAACGGCTTATTATAAACATCTTACCGATAATTAATTACACAGTTGCCAATACGAAGGAGCAAAAAAACGTTATTAGACTAACATCTAGCAGCTAAATGTGTCTGGAAAAATATTATGGCTAAGGCTATTATGGTAAAAGGCTATTATGTACATAAACCGCACAGACGTGAATGCGTCTGACTGTTCTGATTGGCTAAAGTAGACATCTTACGTCAGCATGTTCTAGACGTGCACACGCTCTTTCCGGCGATATTCCTTCTGCATTCTCACAGCACAGCATTCCGGCAAATTACAGGTAATGTTACAACTTCTCTTTGCGGAAAATAGCCGGAACGAATTTACCGGTATTTTCAAAAATGGCCTGTTCACACATACACACCTTGAAAAATTGCCGGTAATTTTCCGTAAAGGTCTGTATGTGTGAAAGGGGCTAGTGATTTCAGTTGATGAAATCAACTTTCAGTTGACCTAGCCAATTCAGTTGATGTGGATAATTGGGAGTTCATGATGGTTAAGGGCCGAGAGGGAATTTGGCCAGGACTTTACGAGAAGTGCCATAGGATTTTTAACAACCACAGAGAGTCAGAACCCTGGTTTAACGTCTCATCAGAAATACGGTGCCCACTGACAGTATGGTGTCCCTTCCACCTTTACTGGGGTATCAGAACTCACACAGACTGCAGGTTGACCCCCTGCTGGCCTCACTAACACCACTTCCAGCAGCAATCCAGTTTTTCCATGTGGCCTCCCATCCAGGTACTGACCAGGCTGAGCCCTACTGAGCTTCAGTGAGCTGTGGCATGGATGAATGGGTGGGTGGACAAAAAGGCATTCAGAATGATTGTGAATGGATGGACAGTAAAGTATTTGACAAAGTAATAGCACTTTTGAAGGGGACATATTGTGCCACTTTTTGCAAGTTGTAAAATGA